AAAGAGGATCACAAGTTTGAGACCAACCAGGGAAACAGTAACTTATCAAGTCCTGTATTAAAATATAAAATTAAAAAGGGGCTGAAAATGTAGCTCAGTTAGAAGGCCAATATTACACACAAAAATTAAATATAAACTTACCATGTGACCCAGCAATTTTGTGTCTAGGTATCTACTCAAAAAAAGAAAACATGTCCACACAGAAGCTGGGTTACATGAATGTTCATAGCAGTCTTTATTCATAGTAGACAAAAGTGAGAATAATCCAAATGTAAATCAAGTAGAAAGTAGATAAACAAAACCCACTGTTTACACACAGGAGTAATATTCAGCAAAGAAATTCTCTTGCCTGAGTGAGGTAACAGTTTAGTGCGAGTGAGTCTATGAAGGGGAGTAAATGAGTCATCACAGAGTTTATTCTTTCTCTTGGGGAGAGGATGAGGACAGAAAGGATTGCGTAGAACAGAAGCAGAAGGGACCAGGGGACAACTGCCATTCAGAGGCACCTAGAACTCAGCCAGATCTTGATTCCTGTCCTGGCTCCACAATCAGTGACAGGTCCTAGTGAGCAGGGTGTGTGTCTAACTAAACTCTGCACTATTGCTCTGAGGTAAGTGTCTCCCATAACTCTACTATGAAAACCAAGAAGATAAACCACACAAAACCTTGGCATGATGTCAGAGCCATCAAAGTGACACAAATAGCTTACTATTTTTAAAAACAGCAGGTTTGAGTAGAAGGCAAAACTGCAAGGTGCCACTAATTTGGAAGTGGCGTTCCTTATTTCTCTTAGCTGTGAAGTGATTGAGCTTTACCCTTTATAACCCACAGTGCAGCTGTGAGTGCTATCAGGGTCTGCCATGCCATGTATAATTCCTCTGGGGTTTTCTGTGCTCTTGGATACACTTGCACCTTTAGTCAAGAAAGGGTCAGTCTCTTCTCATGGGTCTGAGAGTGGCTCCATCCTAGTCTTGTATCGGGTCCTGACCTAGATCCCCGATCTTCCAAACGAGTGTACGGTGGAGATTAAAGAGACAAATTGTATGATTTTTAGGGCTCCAGAAGGGTCAAAACCCTTTAGTTGAGCTCGAGACTCCAAGGGCTATGACAAAGCAATCTCTGGATTAGCCCAGTTTTATTAGGACTAAGACAAAAGATGGGGAAACTGAGGAAAGCACAGGAAATGAGCAGGACTTCGGGGGTCACTTCAAAGACTTCCCCAAGTAGTAGTTTAAGCCAATTTAGGAGAACCATTTTATCTCCAAGAAAACCTTGGTGGTAGGACTGAGACTGCAGGAGTGAGATGCCTGCAGCTGCCGTCTTTACTTACTTAATTAGTGTAGGAGCCAAGGTGTCTTCAGCTGTGGCCTTATCGTGCCCTTTGAGGTATCTCTGGCCTCACAGGCCACTACAGACCTCAGCCAGGACCAGTGATTCATAGAGGTTCACTTCCTATGAATCAGCTCCCATCGTCAGGCAAGGGGCCAAGGCCTAGGACAGACTCACAGATAAACATAGAAAGCCAATTAGTACAATTTAAATCCTGCTCAGAGGTGCTGGGTAGTGGTCCCCAACAGTCTTGTACTTCCTGAATCTCCCCATAGCCTTCCCACTCCCCTCTTCAGTTAGAGAGTCACTTACTTCCTCTCTAGGCAAGTGGATGTCACTCTGTCTTATACTCTAAGGTCCCCCTGGGCAGAATTTGTGCTCAGATCTCCAAATTTTGGTTTGATAAGTGATGGGAAGGTTTGACATTTTCTCTTCCAATAAAGTCTGGCTTTCAAGACTGTTCTCTCATTGAGGATGGGGCAAAAAAGAGAATTTGACAGACCTGAGCAATAGATTTGTTGTTCTAGGAAGTGTCTGCCATGTCTCTGAGGCTCAGTGATTAAAGAGAACATGATACGTTAGAGACATTTTAAACTTCATTGGTTTAAAATGTTTCATTTTTTGTACTGTTACAAATGTACAAAGACGAAAGCTATTTTTAGTAATAATTAAGGAATTTATAATTATTTTAGATTATTGGTACCTATGGTCATCACCTAAATTTGCTGCATAAAGCTAAAGACCAAACAGATGTCTGCTACAGCTGGTCACCTCTCTCCTCTGCTCACTTCTGAATAATCCCTTCCTTCCTTTCCTTGAAAACAGAAATAACAACAGATATGAATTCTCCAAAAATGGAGAATATTGAGAAAGAAAGAAATTATTTTCTCTTCTATAAAAATCTTAGATATTAAGGACATGTCATGTTCTGACTTTATCTTTTATGATGTAGAATAGTTGCCTATTCTATCCATATCAATCAACACATAGTTGTGAGTTCTTTTTAACTCTGAAATCTTGATTATAACTTTTATCTATTAGTTCAGTAGATTTCTAACTTACTGACGTGTTAAGATCTTAAAAGTCTATGTTCACAGAGATTATCTTGCTTCAAATTTTTCCAGTAGAATCTTGGCATTTGGAAGATGTAGCATTTCCTTCTAGATCTACCCAATAAACCTACTAGGAAAATTTTTCCTACCTTATTTCCCCCCAAATAAGACCTAGCTGGAAAATAACCAGCCTTGAAAACTAGAAGCTATCTCAACAAAAAATCAAATAAAACAAGCAAAACATTGTGAAAAATTTCACATTTATTTTTGATGGGAAAATTAAAGAGAAAAGTTAAAAATGGAAGGTAAGGGAGAAACTTGTGTAAAGCAAGTTTGGGTGGAGTAAAAATAAAAGAACAGGAAAAATAAAAGTACATCCTAGAGAATACAGGGTATGGTACGTTAGCAAGCTCTCTGTGGTGTCTTCTTGTTCATTCCACAAACTGCAGGTTCTCTTGGGAAGTCCACACACTGGGTCCTGGATATTGTTTTGCACATATTTCCTGGAGTTTGGTAACACTACCTTTCCCAACCAATTAAAGAACTCCCTATCTCCTATCTCATTTCTCCCTGAGAATCCCCATAATTCTTTATGGGATACTGAGGGAGTGGAGGGACTGTCTTCAAGCCACACGCCACAAGAGGCCATAACCCCTACCTCCCGAGGATTATGTACTCTATACTTTGGGGTATTGTAGCTCACTGGCTGGGTTAAAGAAAAAAATCTGTCAGAAAACAATGAGGAAAGAGTTAGTGACCACTGCGTTGCATGTTTGGTGGGAGAAAGAAACTTTACTATTAGCCCAAATATGAAGAGCAGGTCAGGCTTCCACGCTTCTGTGGAGGAGAATATATTTCAGAAAGGAATTTCAGGTAAATTAGCAAGAGTCTGAGAGCCATGGCCTTAGTAGGATCTTGTTTATTTATCTATAGCAGCATTGGAGCCTTGTTTTTTGAAGAGAAATCTCAGATCTTCTAGAGGCTCCCAAAAGTAGCTTTCTTTTATTGGGTGATCTTGTTCTTTAGACAGTTCAAGTGGTACTAGCTTTAATTGAGAAAGATGAATTGAATTATCTATCTCTGCCACCTTTACTCTGGTGGGTATGGCAAAGATCACTGAAAAGGAGCCCTTATACTTTGGTGTTAACTGGTTTTTTTCTCCAAGTTTTCACAAGCACTTGGTCTCCATAGTGGATACTAGGTGGTTCCCCTTTGGGCCAGGAGCTGGCAGGACACTTGGATAGCCTGTTGTACTTGGCCCAGATTAATGAGATATGGTAAGAGTCTTGTACTGTCTGTATACTATCATATCAGACAACAGAAATGGTCTTCTGTATAATATCTCAAAAGAACTCAAACATAGCCCAGTTTGGGGCATGTTATGAACCCTCTGAGTGTTACTGGTAGCAATGGGGACCAGGATTCAAACATCTCTTGCCAAAGTTTATCGAGGATAAAACCTTCCAAAAATTGGAATGAAGATGGAACTTTATTTGTAAAGCTTGTGCCACCTCCTGAGCCATTTAAGAGGTAAAAGAAGGCCCATTGTCACTTTGAAGGGGGTATTCCAAATCTGAGGATGATTTCTTTAAGAAGAAGCTTGATTATCTCTATAGTCTGAAGGGTTAGGGAAAACTTCGGTCCAGCCAGTAAAGGTGTCAATTAGAACCAACATCTGCTTAAATCTTCCACATGATAGTATGTGGGTAAGATCTAATTGCTGGTCCTCCTTTACCTAATATCAATGCTTGAGTAAGAGTTATTAGTTCTGCCTTCTGAGCAGAGGTTCTTGAAAGAAGATGTCTAAGTGCAATGGCCTGTAGTGAACTGACAACAATATAACCTTCCTTTAATCTTCTTGGACAAAACTATTTCCACTAGTGAACCTACCTCCTCAGGGCCTTGAAAGGGATGTCAATGATGTCCTTCCTGCTTACATAGGCCTGCAAAAGTGGCAAACTTCTGGGTCTGTAGGCATTGCAAAGAGGCAGAATTCAGAGTAGGGAAAGATTTTAATAATAACCTCAGAGATTTTTAACCTCAACATGACTTCATACTTTTAACTGGTTTCCCTGTTAACCACAAGTAACCTTTTGTCTCCAGAATACCTCTAACCTGATGGGGAAGTCAAGACTTCTATCTGCTGTCCTAAAGTTAACTTTGCAGCTTCCTCAGTTAGCACAGCTATAGCTGCTACTGCTCTCAGGGGACTGCCATTCAGCAGCTACTACATCTTGATAGTGGAAGATCCAACATAATGGCTGCATGCAGCATGACTAGACAGCCACCAAGACAGAAGATTCCAAAAGACAGAAAATGTGTGTATGTGAGAGAGCGAGAGAGAGACAGAGAGACAGTGAGAGACAGACAGAGAGAGACAGAGAGATTATGCTTGAATATATTGAAAGATTTATACTCATACCTTAAGCTTTGATGCAAATTAATAATAGATATAGAAAACTAAATGCACAAAAAATTGACAATCATTAATCACTCCTAAAATTGTTTTCATAAAATCAAAGGAAACTATAATGATCATTCACTACATATCTAATTATGAAAACTATTTTTACATCATAAGAATCCAAACACTGAATTGAAATCATGTTACAACTACAGTTTTAAATCTTTTTATAATTTTTTTATTTTAAAGAGAATAAAATCAAGCAAAATAAAACAGAATAAAGCCAATCAGAACCAAACAGTGTAAGTGATACAAGTTTTCAAAACAAGATTATAGGAAATCAGCAACAGCTGCCTCTTGTCTTCAGAATGGCTGCCCATACCATCAGACCTAGGAAAATTAAGGAAAACAGAACAGAATAGAACCAATAAAAACAAAACAATGAATACAATATAGGACTTCAAAACAAGATAATAGTAAATCAAAAATAGCTACTATAATATATCTTGTTATCTTTGAAATAGCTGCCCATGCCATCAGATATAATAAAATCGGCCTGGAGAGCACGACATAGCTGCCCCACCTGGAGGAGGGAGCTGGGCCAAGCCACTGAAACCTGCTCTGGCCTTGCTGACCACCTTCTCTCCACCCAGGAGGGCATGCCGCAACTGCCCCGCCTGGAGGAGGGAGTTGGGCCAAACTGTGGGAACCTGCTCTGGCCATGCCTGCGACCTTCTTTTGGCCTGGAGAGCACCAGCACTACTTCCACCACCTGGAGGAGGGAGATGCCCTGCGAAGAAGGTTTGAGGCCCAGCTAGGCCATAGGGGGGACCTTCTATCAGCCGTGGAGCTTTGCCACCCAAGGAGGTGGATGGTTACACAACATCCGATCCCCAGGAGAGTGTAAAATCCTTGCTATAGCTGGTTGGGGGCCCGCTGGGCTTGTGGCCACACTAGATTTGGCTTAGTGGGATTTGGGCCTGCGTGGACCATGCCTGGTGGCCTTCTTCTGGGGAGCTTTGCTGCCAGACAGGGGAGCTGTGCTGCTGCAGAGGCTTTAGGCCTACCTGAGACGAGCCTGGCAACCTTTTAATCTGGGGGCCTCACTGCCCAAGGAGGGAGCTGTGCTACCAGGGCAGTTCCAGGAGCCCAGGATATAGGAGACAATTTCCAACATGCCCAGGGGAAGCTTTGGAACAACACTTGAAACACAGAAATATAGGAAAATGACAAAACAAAAGACCAAAATGCAATCTCAATCATCCAGCCCATCCCAAGAGAGCCTAGAAGCCATGTACATAGAAGAAAATACATGCGATATGCCTGAAATGCCTGAAATAATAGTAACTGAAATAAAGAAGCAACTTCAGGAAGCTTTAAAGGAATTCAAATGAGAAATAATCTTCCAGGTATAAGAAGAAATGATAAAAGTACTGACAGAGATGCTGAACACATCTAAAGAAGACACATTTAAAAAATCAGAGAAACAAAACAAAAAGATAGAGTCCCTGGATAAACAATATAAGAAACAAACAGAATACATAAAGTAGATTCAAAGAGATATACAGGAAATCAAAAATTACATTGAAGGTTGTAAAAACTGCCTTAACAAAAGTGAAGATAGAATTTCAGATTGCAGCTAGTGAACAGGAAAGGAAAGATCTCTAAAAAATAACAAGAAATCAGGAAATAACAATCCAACAGCTGCAAGATGACTCAAAGAAAAACAACACAAGATTGATAGGGACAAATGAAAAAGAAGGTGACAACACAAATGATAATCAAGAGACTATTTATAGAAGTAATAACTGAAAATTTCCCAAACATGAAAATGGAAACTGACATTAGGATTAGTGAAGCATATATAATTCTAAATAGCCATAATCAAAGCAAAACTACACGCAGACATATAATAATCACCATCCCAGAAATCCAACATAAAAATAGAATATTAAAAGCTATCTGAGAGAAGAGACAGATCACCTATAAAGGAAAGCCTATCAGAATCACAGCAGACTTCTCAACACAAACAATGAAGTCAAGAAGAGCACTGAGCGAAGTATTTCAGATCCTAAAGGAAAATGACTTCCAACCTAGACTGATGTACCCAGAAAAACTGTCCTTCAAAATGGATGGAGAAATAAGATACTTCCATGACAAAGAACAGCTAAAAAACTTCATGATCACCAAGCCAGCCCTGCAAAGAATACTGAAAGAAACTTTAGATGCACATAGGAAAAAAAACCAATAAACAAGACAGACAACCAAACAGTATGGAAAGATAAAGATGCAACAGCCAAAAGATAACATGTCAATAATAAACCAATATATAACAGTTACAACCATTAATGTAAATGGTCTCAATTCACCAATTAAAAGAAACATGCTGACAGAATGGATCAAGAAACAACATCCAACCATATGCTGTCTACAAGAAACCCACCTAACCCAAAAGGAAACTCATAGACTGAAAGTCAAAGGATGGAAAACAATACTACATGCAATAATAACCCCCCCAAAAAGTGGGGGTAGCTATCCTGTTTGCAATAATGTGAACTTCAAATCAAGAATGATCCGAAGAGACAAAAAAGGTCATTACATACTGGTTAGGGGAAAACTTCAAGAGGAAGAGACAACTATCTTAAATACATATGCACCAAATTCCAGAGCACCCAGTTATACAAAGCAAGTATTAATAGAAAGGAAAAATCATATTAACAATAACACAATTATAACAGGAGACCTTAACACACCATTGACACCAAGGGACAGATCAACCAGACAGAAAATCATCAAAGAAATAACAGAACTCAATCACACTTGTGAACAAATGGACTTGTTAGACATGTACAGAGTGTTCCATTCAACAACATCAGAATATATATTCTTCTCAGTGGTACATGGGACATTCTCTAAAATAGACCACATACTAACCAACAGAACATATTTAAATAAATGCAAAACAGATGAAATTATCCCATGCATGTTACCAGATCATAGCTCCATGAAACTAGAAATTAACGATAAAAGAAACAGCAAAACTCCCACAAACACATGGAAATTGAATAACACACTCTTGAACAATCAGTGGGTCACAGGAGAAATTAAAGAAGACATTAAACAATACCTACAAGCAAATGAAAATATAAATACAACTTACCAGAATCTGTGGAATGCAGTGAAAGCAGTCCTCAGAGGAAAATTTATTGCACTGAGTTTCCACATGAGGAAAACAGAATGAATACAAATAAGCAACCTGATGCTACACCTCAAACATCTAGAAAAAGAAGAGCAAGTCAAGCCCAAAGCCAAAAGAAAAGAGGAAATGATAAAAATCAGAGCAGAAAGCAATGCAATAGAGACTATGAAAACAATCCAAAGAATCAAAGAGTTGGTTCTTTGAAAGAATAAATAAAATTGATAAGCCCCTAGCCAACCTAATTTTAAAAAGGAAAGAAAAAGCTCAAATTCATGTAATAAGGAACAAAAAAGGCAAAATCACTACAGAACCTGTAGAAATACAGAAGATCATCAACACCTATTTCAAAAACCTCTACTCTCATAGGTTCGATAACACAGAAGAAATAGACAGATTCCTAGAAATATATGAAGTACCAAAGCTGAGTAAAAAAAGATGTAAAACTGCTGAATAACCCAATTTCTATCAATGAAATTGAAAATGTAATTAAGTCCTTACCTACAAAGAAGAGCCCAGGCCCAGATGGATTCACTGTGGAATTTTACAAGAAATACAAAAAAGACTTAATGCTGACACTTCAATGAAGTACTCAAACTCTTCAATGAAACTGAAAGGGAAGCAATTCTTCCCAAGTCATTCCTGGGAACAAATGTAACTCTAGTACCAAAACCTGAGAAAGACCCAACTAAAAAAGAGAACTGCAGGCCAATCTCCTTAATGAACACAGGTGCAAAAATCCTCAATAAAATCTTGGCAAATAGGATGCAGCAAATCATCAAGAAGATTATACACCATGACCAAGTGGGATTCATCCCAGGCATGCAGGGATGGTTCAACATACCTGAGTCAATAAATGTAATCCATCATATCAATAAAGCCAAAAGTAAGAATCACATGATCGTTTCAATAGATGCAGAAAAAGCTTTTGATAAGGTCCAACATTCATTCATGATAAGAACCTTACAGAAAGTTGGAACCTTACAGAAAATTGGTCTTTACCTCAATATGATAAAGGCCATCTATGACAAACCAACAGCCAGCATCATGTTAAATGTCCAACAACTGAAGGTTTTTACCTTAAAATCAGGCACAAGACAAGAATGTCCCTTATCACCGCTCCTATTCAATACAGTACTGGAAATACTAGCCAGAGCAATTAGACAAGAGAGAAATAAAAAGGGTAAAAGTAGGAAAAGAGGGAATTAAATTATCATTATTTGCAGATGACATGATACTCTACATAGAAGACCTCCAAAACTCCATTGAAAGACTCCTAGATATAATAAATAAATTCAGCAGTGTAGCGGGATACAAAATCAATGCTCAAAAATCAATAGCATTTGTATACACTAACAACAAAATTACAGAGAGAGAAATAAGAGAAGTTACACCCTTCATGCTAGCATCAAAAAAATTAAATACTTAGGAATTAATCTCATGAAAGAAGTAAAAGATCTAGACAGGGAAAAGTATAATACACTGAAAAAAGAAACCAAAGAAAATCTCAGAAAATGGAAAAACATCCTTTGTTCATGGAGAGGGAGAATAAATATTGTGAAAATGGCCATTCTCCCAAAATTGCTATGCAGATTCAATGCAATCCCAGTGAAAATACCATCAACATACCTCATAGACCTAGAGAAATCACTCCAAAAATTCATCTGGAACCAGAGGAGAACTGGAATAGCAAAGGCAATTCTAGGCAGCAAAGGCAAGGCCAGAGGCATCACAATCCCTGACTTTAAATTATACTACAAAGCTACTGTAATAAAATCAACATGGTATTGGGATAAAAATAGATCTGAAGACCAACTGAGTAGACTAGAAGATACAACCACAACAACCACCACACTCAACCACCTTATCTTTGATAAATGGGCCAAACATGTTCACTGGAGGAACAACAGTCTCTTTAATAAATGGTGCTGGAAAAACTGGCTCTCCATATGCCAAAAATTAAAACTAGACCCATGCCTTTCACCAGATACTAAACTAAAATCTAAATGGATCAAATATATGAATATTAAAACACAAACACTAAATCTGTTGGAAGACAAAGTAGGTAAACATCTTGAAGACATAGGGCTAGGTAGAGAATTCATAAACAGGAATCAAACCGCTTGGGAAATACTTCCCATAATAAATAGCTGGGATCATGTCTTATTAAAAAGTTTCTGCATGTCAAAAGAAATCTCCACAATAGTGAAAAGAAAACCCACAAACTGGGAAAAAATCTTAGTAAACTGTCCCTCAGACAAAGTACTTCTGTCTAAAATATACAGAATTTTAAAAAATCAGATCTCCGAAACTCAAGGACCCAATCCAAAAATGGGCATCTGAAATGAATACACAGTTCTCAGATGAAGAAATACAAATGGTAAATAAATACATGAAAAAATGTTGACATCGTTAGTCATTAGAGAAATGCAAATTAAAACAACACTGAGATTCCATCTCACTCCACAAAGAATGTTCAGGATCAAGAAAACTACCAACAACAAATGCTGGAGAGGCTCTGGGGAAAAAGGAACTCTCCAACACTATTGGTGGGAGTGCAGCCTGGTGCAACCACTATGGAGGTCAGTCTGGAGATTCCTCAAAAATCTGGGATTGGAGATCCCATTCGACCCAGCTATTCCACTTCTGGGCATATTCCCAGAAGAACTGAAAGCATCATACCATAGTGATATATGTGCACCCATGTATATAGCAGCACAATTTGTAATATCCAGATCTTGAAAACAACCTAAGTGTCTATCAACTGAGGAATGGATAAAAAAGTTGTGGTATTTTTATACAATGGATTACTACTCTGCTATAAAGAATGATCACATTGAGATATTTACTAATAAATGGGTGCAACTTGAGAGCATACTCATAAGCGAAATAAATCAAACTCACATGTATAAACACCGTATAGTCTCTCTAGTATAAGAAATAGTAAGAGTACATAAGAGTTTAGGGTATCATGATTCTCCATTACATTGTTTTGAAGCCTTATAATGATCACAGTTGTAATGTGTTTGTGCTGCTTTTTTGATTTTATTATCTGTGATGGTATGAACAGCTAATTTGAGAGAAACAAGTCATTATAATAGACAGTACTGATATAATATCATCTTACTCTGAAGTCCTACCATGCTCTTGCTCTTCTGTTTCCATTGGCTCTATCATGTTGTATCTTATTGGATTATATTACATGTGAAAGTATAAACAAATTTCCTTTGGAAAATGAGATAATATAGTAGTCATTGTTTGTTTTCTGTTATTTGGTTCTGAAAACCCGGTAATACTCTCATTCTCTTGAATATTGTTATATTATTTTGTTATGTTTGATACTATTGTACATGAAGTTATACTCAACTATTTCAAAGAAAGCGACATCATGGTAGTTACTGTTAATTATGGGTTGTCTTCTGGAGAAATACTGTGTTGCTTACATTGTTCTGTTCTGATCTTCTCTGTTATGTCCTGTTTTGTCTTAATCTCCTTAAAATAAAAAAAATTAAAAAACAGATATAATAAAATCACACAAGATGAAACAAAATGAAACCAAACCAAACAAAACAATACAGGACATTACAACAATATGATAGAACAAGATCCCCCATAGAGGCTATACTGTGTATTGTTATCCTCTATATAGATGATCAGATTTCTGCCTTTAGGCTTGCAAAAATCAATGAAATAGTAAACACTACAAGCATTCAGTTATACTTTATTTCAATAGCTATCATCTCAGCCTATGTTTCTTCAGCTCAGCTGGTTGCTCACGGTGTGTGTGTGTGTGTAGGGAACCCTAGCTCTTCTCGTTTCCCAGCCCACATGCCAAGAGAGGCTGGCATCTGATTGTCCTCCTCATGACCTGTGCATGGTGCTGAATCATGGAAAGTGGCTGACTTCTTGTTCTCTGCCCTGTGGCCTGTGAATGGTGCTAACAGGAAGGGGCTGGTGTCTGGTTGTCCTCTGTGTTTTAAATCCTAAGTATCCCCAAAAGTTAAGTATACCCTAAGTAAACCCAAAAGTATCCCCATATGTTAAAGGCTGTGTTCTCAGGATAGCTATGGAGAAGGGGTTAAAACTTCAAGGTATGAGGCCCAGTATAGGTGTTTTACTCACTGGGGCTATGCCCTTGCAAGGGATTATGGGAGCCAACCCTCTATTGCCCTCTTTCTTTTTAGCTAATTGAGTGGGTGACTTTCCCCACTGTGTGTTCCTGCCACAATGTGCTGTTTCACCATAGGCCTAATATCAAGGGTTGAAATCTTTAAAATCATGAGCCAAATTAATGATTGGCTTATAAATTAATTATTTCAGGTATTTTGTTTTAGCAACAGAAAGCTGCCAAACACAAACTATGTTAAAAAGATGATAGAAGAAGAAGAGGAAACTTAAAAGAGAACACAATTGGGCCAGGGATTTGGCTCAGCAGTATAAGTGCCTGCCTGGCAAGCATATGGTCATGAGTTTGATTCCTGGTACCAAAGAGAGAGAGAGAGAGAGAGAGAGAGAGAGAGAGAGAGAGAGAGAGAGAACACACAAGTTTCATCATACCTAGTAGGAAGTCAATAAAAGATGATAATCAAAGACAAGGTATCCAGCATTCTAGATACCTTGAATGAAATCACTCCTATTGTTTGGATATACAGAGGTAAACCCCAAAAGAAAGGCCAAAGTGTGTCCTGAGTGATTGTTTCAGGGTAGCAATGATTTGGGGACAGGGAAAGTTGGATGGAAAGAGTTGCTTTTAGATCTAAGATTTAACTTTAACACTATAAAAGTTTAACACTGTGCACATGGAAATCTTCAATAAAAATTGGGGGGAAATACTAATGAAGTGGAAGTTCTTTCTTAATTTTGAATTGAAATTTAGATCCAGGTTAAACATATTGATTCAACTTATTTCAATGAAAGATTGGTCTGAGGGAATATTTCCCTGCTTTGGACATATTCTCAGAGCATGAACTCCATAGTTAAGATTTCATCCTCAAATTATGTGGTAAACAAGACCACAGGGGTCCCAGAGAGAATGAGAAACTACTGTATAAGGCTGACCCAACCACAGTAGAGTCAACTTCATGTCACTCAAGACACACTTGGTCTTTCTTTTGGGGTTTACCTTTGTATGTCCAAATGGTAGGAGTGATTTCTTTTGGATTTACCTTTGAATGTATGGAATAAAGCTCCTTTATGTTGCAGAGAACATAACATGTTATAGAGGACAGTGACATATTCAAATACATTTTGAATAAGACCACAGTTGATGTATTCATTCTTCTCAGTATTGGAAACATCAAAGTATAGAACCCCTGCTAGAACAAGTTACTTTAAGAACAGAAAGATAAGTGGATTAATTGCATTGCTAAATTAATGGTTACACTGGCATTGGAGATTTTGGGGCACTTCTCAAAAAGTGCAAGCCCTTTAATGCATTATAAGTTAAATTGTGCCCTCCCTCTTCCTACATTTGTATGTTGAATTCCTAACCTCATTGCTTAAAATGTGAGAGTTTTTACTTCTATCTTACAGCTTAAGATTCAAGAGTAAACACCTGCACCTACTTGGCTTTTGGTGAGGGCTTCTGCCCACATCACAACATGGCAGAAGCCAATATAGAGTGAGCAAGTGGGTATAAAAAGAAGAGGTCACGTGGTAAGATGATGACACAGACACATTTCAGGGGTTAAACTCACTCTTCTCATAACACCTCACTGTCAAGGGACTAACTCTCCATGAGATGGCATTAATATCTTCCAAAAGCAATGTGCCCTGCCCTGACTCCCTTTCACAAGGCCTAGCCTGATAGAGGTTCCGTTCCTCTTAATACCACTGCCCTGGGAACAATCCTGCAACATATGAACCTTGAGACTAACCACACGGAAACCATACAAGTTTGTAAATTTCTTTAAAAGATCACGAAGTACACTCAGTTTAGTATAGATTGCTTAGAATCTGTAACCTATAAGGTAAGGGTAAGACTGCCTTTCTATTTAAAATTTTGCCTGCTGGCAAAACACCAAGACTGATCTATGCAACACTGTCCTAAGACCTGTGTATTGAGTAGAATGCCATTTGGCTTAGGGACCTGTGGACACAAACAGAACTGAAAAGTTTCTAATCAGCTGTGTGCATTTTTAATGCATAACAAACCATGGATGTCTCCAGAAGATATAAACTATCTCAATGTGCATATTCAAATGATCTCTATCCTAAAAAAAAAAAAAAAAAAAAAAAAAAAAAACCCTGTCCCTCTTCATATCATTAGGAACTTCCATCTGGCACTTGAATCTGTGCATTCAAAGGAAAGTTGACAACTGTGATGTAGCTATGCTGATAATTCAAGTTAAAAGCATTTTTTCTTTGATTATCTGGATGTTACAGACAAATGTAAGAACCTATTAGCATGAATTATTATCCAGAGAATTGATTCAATTTTTCATTTCATTTTTCTCAAAACCATGATCTAAATCATTGAGTGAAAAATATTCCTCACAATGAACTGCATTTAAAACCTTGGTAAAAAGTCATTTTTATCTAATGGCCAAACATAACAAGTAAGAACAATGATTCCTTATAGAGTTACCACTGCTGAGAAAAATGAGGATCCTGGAGGTGAATTTGATGGTGAGCACATGATTTATGACTCAGGCCAGTGTTTTTCCACTACTTCAGAGCTTCTTAACAGTTTTTGTGCCATGAACCTCCTTGAGAATATAAAGAAGTCTTTGGACTCCTCAGAAAAAAATAATTTTCGAATGTAATTTTAAAGAACATATAGGGAGAGCCAGGCATGTTGGTACCTACTTGAGATCCTAGCACTTTGGGAGCTGAGTTAGGAGGATCCCAAGTTTGACTGGCCAATTTAGACTTTTCAAAAAAAAGGAAGAAGGAAGGAAGGAAGGAAGGAAAGAAGTAAGGAAGGAAAGAAGGAAGGAAGGAAAGAAGGAGAAAAAAAAAAGAAAGGAAGAGAGAGAATGAAGCAAAGGAAACATAGAATTACAAAAGAAACAGATCATATTAAAATAGAATGATAGGGGCTGGGGATTTAGCTCAGCAGCATAAGCGCCTGCCTTGCAATTGCTGAGTCGTAAGTTCAATCCCTGGTGTCAATTAAAACAATAATAATAAAATAAAATAGAATGATACAACAGTAATACATGGTGTCCCTATGTACCTCATTATTTATATAAGTATTAAGGTACAATAGCAAATCTAATATTACCCTAATTTCACAGCAGTGATGAGGGTAAACAGTCTACAATGACCTGAATGAGATATGCACATACCTACATCTACAATGACCCAAATGAGATATGTACATACCTATGACTTCTATCGATGATAAAGTCTTTGGTATTACTACATATAAGACATTGAAAAATACCAGTAAGTACATAGTGATTCAAACAGGATGTGGCATTTGAGTTTGAAATTGAGATAATTATGTGATCAGCTTCTGAAGTCACTTGGCTTCTAAAGAAGGAGCCTACGACCTTGGAGTAGTGAAACATTGGACAAGGAGCTGTGGGCGAAGGGTGTGAAGCCCAGGCTGACTTATATGCAGCCTGGAGCCAGAAAAGCACTGTGAGCATATGCTGCGATGACATTCATGCATTCAGCAAGAATTATCTGTGGAGAACCAGGAACAGAATGGATGTTTCACTTCCTTTGCAACTTCAGATACTCAAAAGCCAACCCTAAAACTCCAGAGATCAGTGAGAAACATAATTGCATTAATTCAAGAAAAGTTAATCATCTCAGTTGGATTGACTTTCAAGAGAGGGACACTGGCTCTCAGTAATCTAGACTGTTTCACCTTTGTGTGTGTGTGTGTGTGTGTGTGTGTGTGTGTGTGTGTGTGGTGTGCACATGCATGCCAATATATTTTCACAAACTTCATTTCTTATAACAGTTTTAGATTTATAGAAAATAAAGAGAATACAGAGTTCCCACATTCCTTGCATACTAGTTACCCTATTAACATCTTCATTTACCAGTATTGACACATTATAATTAAAATCAATACTCAGATTTTCATAGTTGTCATTAAAGGTCCTTTTCTGTCCCAGGGAGACCACATTACATTTAGTTATTCTGTCTCTTTAAGATCTTCTTGATTGTGATGATTTCTCAGACTTTTCTTGTTTTTGATGATCTTGACAGCTTCAAGTTACACTAGTCAGGTATTTTGCAGAATGTCCCCGAGTGGGGATTCATCTGATGCTTCTTTCACGATTAGACTGGAGGTAAGGACGCTGGGGAGGGAGACCTTGGGGTGAGGTGCTTTGCAGTACATTACAGCAAATGTGGCTGCTGTCCACTTGAGGTGTCACTGCTGACCTTCATCACTGAGCCGAGGTGCTGGTCAGGTTGCTTCATAGTAAAGTCATCCCCACCCCTGACAATTCACTTTTTACATTTCTGTGATTGCTTACTGAAGAGAAAATCATTGCCATTGTGTGTGATAGTCCAGTCCCTTATGGAAGCATGGGTCTAGAAGAACCCTGGGAGACTGGCCTCTTGCCCTGTATCCAAGCCACACAGGAGTTTCCAGCTGGCCTCCTTCTAAAGATAAAGAAAAGCGAGCAGTCTCCACGGGGCAAAAACTGTGAACTTTTGACAATTGAGCTTCTATGTCAGCCAAATCTGTGGTGCATACTAACCACATGCACGCTGCTTAGATACATGTTTAACTCCAAGACGTTTATACCATCTTACATTACTTCCAGATCAAGGTGGTAAACCAGTGTATGGGTAGAGATGTAAACGACCAGATAAAATATGAAGCAGTAAACACGGTAGGAGTCAGTACAAAAGACAAATACAGAGGTTGTGAGCACAAGTTTTAGACTCCTAAGATCTCTGTTCACAAAGCCATGGTCTCCTTACCTGTACAATGGAGGTAAATTGTGCCAGTCAAATAATACGTAAAAAGCACCTGGCACATAGTAGATCCTCAGTATACTATAGCTATCCTTAGTAGAGAGGGAATCATTACATGGTCACCCTTTTGAGTGGCTATATATTAAGTGGGGTCTGTCCTAGAAGGGCCTCCCAGTGCTGAAACTGAGTTCAGGATACTACACTGCATGCCCTGAATCCTCCTTTCCGCCGCCCTGCGTCACCACTCCTTTCTCTTGCTTTTCCCTTTTCTCTTCTCTGTTCCCTTATATTGACTGCACCTTCCTGCCAAGCCCCTATTCTTCTGCATTTCCAAAGCAGCAGAGATACACGGAAAAGAACCTCTTCTCCCGGGGTGGCAGGGAGAGCTGAGGAGTTGGCAGGCGCGCAGGAAATGCATCTGCATACTGCAGGTCGTGGGTTCCGTTTGTTTTGGTTTAAGTGATTGCTTTGCTGATCCTATTACTGTAAAGGGTAATGATATTTGGGAATAAAAGTCTATGACTAAGTAATGATAACAGAAGTAAGAACCAGAGCTGTGGATAGAAAGCTCGGGTTAAAAATTGTCTGTCATTTCCAACTCTGTGTTCCTAAGCCTTTTCCTTGATGGAAAGACAGACCAAAGGTGCCAACACAGCTTGCTGGTCATTTATGACCAAGGGAGACATGGTCCTGAGCAAAGTGACTTGTCCACTGTGGTCAGCCCTCTCTTGGATTCTCAGATGCAGCCCATGACACCCCCATAATCATCTCCAAAGCCAGAGTAAAATGTATACCTTATTAATGTAAGAATAAAGGCACACTGCACATGACAGGTCTGTGCTGAGAGCTTTATGTTCCTTGAAATGATTTTTCTTACAAGGAGTAGACAAGGAGTAGTCATGGATGCTATCTGGACATCAAGTCATCCAGTGACCCTAAGAAGGGCTAGGAAAAAGCTGGAATCTGAAGGGAATACGAGAAGATGAGTGAGGAGTCACATCATCGCATCCAAGGCATCACATGTGTCTGTATGTAGCAGAGTGGTGACACACGAGTCCTGCAACCTCAGCACAGCAGCTGCCAAATCATGCTGTAGAGAAATCTGAGAAAGCAGACACCCAAGCAAGCAAGGACTCTGTAGCCTCTGGGCCAGGAAGCCAAATCCTCAGGACTGCAAGCCAAGACATTGCAACTGATGCAATCAGTCTGGTGCCCATCCTGGCCTCAGCTTGACTGTTTCAGTGGCTGAGGTCACATGCTAAGACATTCTCCAGATTCTGTTATTACACAGACACCACCACCCCTCCTGCTTCCTCATCAAACACTGAGAGTCTGCTAGGGCAGAGCTGCACAAATGGGAAACACCCATCAAATGCACAGGAATATTCACTTCACTCGGAAGCCTTTCTATGCCATTACTGTAGAAAGGATTCCTTGTTAGTCCTACCATTAAACAATTAAATTGTCAGAGATGAATCTTGCGCGTGTGTGCAGAGCTTGCCTGTGTGCGCAGGGTGTGTAATTTCCCACTCAGGTGATGTCTGCTGCAGGTTCTTTCTTTCTCTATCTCCTCTCCCTTTTGCTCCTTCTCCATTTTTTCCACCCAAATTCCATGCTTTTCCCTCTGCATTGTGGAAAATAAATATAAGAGCATCTTTCTGATGGCATAAGCACTTTTTTGTTGTAAACTTTGATATGCCCTCACATCTTACTCTCCTCTTAAGACAAAAGAAATGCCAACAGTGGCTGTCTCCTGGTTACTCACCCCACCTCCTCCTGCCAGAACCTGATTCCTTAGTTTCTTTTGCTAACACTACCTATCAACATTGTCAGTCCACGCACTCTGTGTTATATGTGCGGACTGATTTGCTTAGCCGATGTCTCCTATGTCTCTACTGTAACATGTTTAGCTTATGCAAATCAAACCTGCTTGTGAAAAATAAACGCATCTCACTTGAACTCAGTAATCATTATTTCACCAAAGAAAGAGCATATTGCATAAATCTAATGTAGTATTAAATACGATTGAAGTATTTAATTAAATTTCATATTAGTTAATATTCATATTTATATATAATTTGGACCACATTTAAATTTCTATATTTTATATACTCAAATTATTATTTAACTGAAATATATTTTGTCAGCTATCAAAAATCTTCTTTAAGCTTTTAGTCTTATAAAAAAAGCTATACACTAAGGTACAAAGACTTCTAGAAATTACATACATTTTTTTTAAAAAAAAATTACGTACATTTGAAGTGACAAGAGAGCTCAATAAACATTGCTGATATCTACAAATACTCCAGTTCCTGAAAGAATTATGTTG